ATATTGTGTGTGTATGTGTTCCATGCTTTGCTTTTTTGACCTTTTATTTTGTACAGATATCTTAGAATCAGTTTTTTAAATAAAATGTAGTGAAAACATTTTTTTGACAATTATCAACACCCTCACATGAAACATGTTAAAATAAAGACTAGATGTTCTATTTGTTACTGTATGCTATCGTCAAACCTAAATTAATCTGTTGAATATCTTATTTGTATTGATATGTTTTCAACAAAAACAATTAACCATTGAAATCTGAAACTAGGTGCTGATCCATCAAGTTTATATTTGTGACTTGGACTCTGGAATAAAACGTGAAACATTGTTTTAAAATGTTTGGCATTGATCACGCTGAGAATCATTCTTCCATCAATATAACAGAAGCAGTTATTTATTTGATTTAAAAAAATGATCAATTCTTCATGTTATCATGTGTTCAAATATAAAAAGGAGGAGTCAATGCAAACCTGAGCTTCATCGAGCTGCATTTATCATCAGAAAGCAAACGCTCCAACAGAAGTTTAGCAGGTTTCCACAATGACTCTGAGTGAGAGTGTTTCTCTTCTGCTGCTGTTTTCAGTTTCTGGTGATTTAAACTCGGTTCTCTTCTGTTCTCAGCTGTTTCTGTTTGGTTCTTTTCTGATCTCTCTGGTTGTCTCTCAGGTGTTTGCAGTCAGACTCTGACACAATCTGAACCAGCGGTGAAACAGCCTGGAGATTCCCACAGACTCACCTGCACATATGCAGGAATATCAGATGATGATGCTGATATCAGCTGGATCAGACAGGCTGAGGGAAAAGGACTGGAGTGGGTCGCTTTCATTTCTGCTCCCAGTGGAACCAATAAATATTATTCCACAGCTGTCCAGAACCGCTTCACCATTTCCAGAGACAACGACAAGGATCAGGTGTATCTGCACATGAGCAGCTTGAAGACTGAAGACTCTGCAGTTTATTATTGTGCTCGAGAGCCACAGTGATGCAGGAGGCCTCAGAGCTGAGCAGAAACTCTGCAGCTCTTCAGGAACTCTTGGTTTTAGTCTGAGGGTTTGTCACCGAGATACACATCAATATAAAAACCTCAGAACAAAAACCTGAAAGAAATTTGTCACTACTTCGAAGAAAAAAGACAGAATACAACACTGATCAGTTACAATGAGAAGTAAGTTTCCTACAAAACAATTTTAATAAAACTTAGATTTAAAAATATGAAAATCTGATGTTTAAAGTCAGAGTACATGATGGTTTTTTTCAATTTAGTTAGAATTATATGAAAAGACAGAAAAAAGTTTATTTCAAATCTATCACACAAAAATTTCTGCATCATCATCTTGATCTTTTTTCAGAAGCTTGATGTTTTTCTTGAAGCAGTCAGTGAAGAAGTAACACTGTGACGGTTACTGGGGAGACGGAATGACAGTCACTGCTCATTCAGGTAAGATCATTAAATGCTATTCACACTACATTGTGTTTGCTGTTTTTATGTGATTAATGTGATGTAAAATTGTTGTTCCTTGCTTTATTAGTGTCAAGCAAATAAAAATCTAACTACAGTTTGTTTGTAAAATCCTACTTTAAGTATTTTAAGCCGGTGGTTCCTAACACTGGTCCTTGAGGAACACCATCTTGCTTGTTTTAGTTGTTTCCCTGCTCCAACACACCTGGTTCAGGGATTTAATTACTTCATCATGTTCTGAAGATGTCTGTAAATCACTCATTTATTAAAATCAGGTGTGTCGGAGCAGAGAAACAACAAAAGCATGGAGGATGGTGTTCCTCAAGGACCAGGGTTGGGAACCCTTGCATCAAGCACAAGCACAAATATAGCAGTATTGACTGAATCACTATTTATTTATTTTATGGTCAGATTTGATAGTAATTACAAACAATTTTACACAACTTGATGTGCTGCACTAGACTCGTGGAGTTTATCATCAGTGGAAACCTGCTCTTGAAAGTAAATTTGCTTTATAGGAGTTAAAAGTGGGGCAGCACGGTGGCACAACTGGTAGAGCTGCTGCCTCTCAGCGAGCAGGCCCTTGGCTCAAACCCCGGTCCAGGGGCCCCTCTGGGTGGAGTTTGCATGTTCTCTCCGTGCATGCGTGGGCTTTCTCCGGGTACTCCGGTTTCCTCCCACAGACCAAAAACATGCATGTTAGGCTGATTGGTAACTCTAAATTGTCCATAGGTGTGAGTGAGAGCGTGAACGGTTGTTTGTCTCGTTTGTCTCTATGTGGCCCTGTGATGGACTTGTGACCCGTCCAGGGTGTACCCCGCCCCTCGCACAATGATTGCTGGACATGGGCACCAGCGACCCCCATGACCCAAAAATGGAATAAGCAGGTAAAGATAATGGATGGATGGATGGATGGAGTTAAAAGCTGTTGGGTTTGAGTTTAATGGCTTCAGTAAACAAGAATATAATTTAGTGCTTGGGTTTAAATGATCGATAGAGTTTACAAAATGGTTTTATTTGGTGCATTGGACAAAACTGGTTGATTTTGTCTGAGTGTTTGTCACTGTGGTATATTGGGGTGGGGGCACAAAGATACACACCAGTACAAAAACCTCAAAACAAAAACCTGCTTTTAAATTCTTATTGTGATGGTTATAATATTAGGAAACAACAATAATTATTAGAACATGAGTTGTTTCCTGCAAAAGTGTTAAATTAAACTTAACTACATTTAAAAGTTTTATAATCAGATGTTTAAAGTCACAGAGTAAAGACAATAATTGAGTTTATTTTGAATTTTATAAAGTGACTGAGAGTCAGCAAAATGTTTATTTAAAAAAAAGATCACATGACAGTATTAATCTTATCTGAAACCTTAAGAGAAATTAAAAATGTAATATTTTTTTTAATTGTTTCCAGGAGCTTGATGTTTTTGTTGAAGCAGTCAGTGAAGATGTAACACTGTGATGGTTTAGACTACTGGGGAGACGGAACGACAGTCACTGTTCATCCAGGTAAGAT